GACCTGTTAGCTGCTTCTGGTAGGGTGACTATGCTCTTTTTCTTAAACTTGCTCTCCTTTAACACCTGTGACTCTCCCATCCTTGTTCTTCTGTTTCTCTCTCTACTCTGCCAACGTGTGCTTTGCAGCGTCTTCCTCGTTCCACATCCAGCTTTCTTTAGGGGGCCCACAGCTTCTGTCCTTTGCCTACTTTCCTCGCAGCATACCTTGCCTCTGGGTAGTCTCACTCACAAATAGATACAGATGCTAGATCTGGTGTACGCTTGCCTCTGCTCCAGACTTGTCTCCTTCCAACCAAATTGAAGTCTTTCTTGTTGACATTATCTCCTTGAGAATGGCTGCAGACATCTTCAGAGCCCACACCATCTCTTCCATGCCACTTCATTGCTTGATCATGAGGAACAGCACTACCAGCATTCCTGTTGCTCAATCCCTATTTCTAGGATAGCCAAGCTATGTCTACATCTTGCAGATCCCTTCTGCATCGCATCTAAAATAAGGTGTTCATTATTCATCCACACAACTTAAACTCATGTCAGAGCTCTTATCATTCTGCATCTCACTTACTGCAGTATGCTTCATTCTGGCTTTGACAAATGCAGCCCTGCTCTGCTTATATACTCCGAGAAAGTTGCAGCATGCTTTGTTCTCTTGTTCTGTTTCTGTCTTCCTTTTCTTTCTGTGTCTCCAGTGGCTCTGCCTTCTCCATCCTATTGAATGTGAGCAGTTTGTACTTCAGGGCTTTTCACAGAGTATCGCCAGTCTGCTTATCATCTTCCATTCACTGTTGAGATGATGTTGAGTCCTGTTTCCAATTGGGCTCTGATACCAGCTTCCATTGTCCACTTGTTAAATTTTCAGCCAGGTGTTTCCATGCTGTTTCTCATGCTCCCTGACATGTCTCAGGGAATAGGTCCCTGCAAACACCTGCAAAACGTATTCTCCTCCATTCATTGTCTCCTTAAAAATCTCCTTTCCCTACAAAAGACTTGACTGTTGTTTAGGTATGTGGTGTGTGGAGCTCACTGCCTATCAGGCCAACTAGTATTGTCCCTTTGTTTCCTTGTGTTCCGTCTCTCCTTTTCACTGTTTGTACCTGTAGATTGTAAGTGCTTTGGACTAGAGACCGTCTTTTTGTTCTGAGTTTATACATCACCTAGCACAGTGGGTTTCTGGGCTGGGATTGGGACTTCTAGACATTATGATTAAAAAGTTCGTAGTCACATATTAACCTTGAATGGGGCTGTTAAAAGCAGGTAGACTTCCTCCAAACAGCGATACCTATTCAAGTGCTATGTTTCTTTGGAATTCAGCCCCTCAAGATTAGTAAGCTGAACAGGCAATTCATCACCTAGTTATTTAATTCAAGATGTCTTGGGCTGTATCTTTTTTCCAACATCTCAAAATCTCACTTGTTGGCAGTTGATTGCAGCACTCCTGTTATTCTTATTAAATATATTATTCTCCTCAGTCTTTTTGTTGATTAACTGTGGAAGATCGAAAGATCGACATGATACAGTTAATTAACTTATACAAATTTGAGTTTTTCTATGCACTCTGACAGGCTGTGCTTCTGGACACATTAATAAATGGCCAGTTTTCTGGAATACTGCGCCCTTCCTGCTTCCTTTCATTACATTAGCCAAGGTTCCACTAGATGAGACATTTGTAGTCTTAAGACTTCCTGCCGAGGTTCAGACTTTGTATTTTTGACATTGAAGCTGTCGTGTTCCTGAAGCTACTTAATTAGAAACACATTTATTTCAGTGTATACTGGAGAAGGCTTGGACAGCACAGCCGGGCACATAGGGAAGTTGAGCGTTTGTGCAGCTGGCAGCTAAACGAATGGTTTACACTTTGAGTTTAAAATTGTTGGACACTTCCTTGCCCCTGGAATGTGGCCATTAGAAATAAAGCAGTATGTGTAAAGGACATCTCTATTTCCCACAATTAAAGCATACCAGTGACAAACAAAATACCCTCCAGTTTGATGGCATTTCCTGTGTTGCGTTTAACCTGTAATGCATACACCTCGTAACACTGCACAAGTTAGTGTTCAAGAGCATGATTTCAAATACTGCTTCTGACCTGTAGGTCTCTCAATGAACCAGAAACCCCAGAGTTCTCCCTGCGCTAAAGAAACGAAAGTAGACAGTTACTTTCTAGAAAGTGGATAGTTTTAAATCGCTATATTGGAAAACACCAGGGTGGGATCATTCTTATGGCTCTCTAAAACTTAGTAATTCACAATGTGAAATCGAACGCTTGAGTGAAAAGGTTGAGTTTGTAGGATATTGAAATTTTTATGTAGAATGTCTTTTTACAAAGTGATTCAAAGTTTTGATTGTAGACTTCCTAGGGCAGGGGCTACCTTCATCTTTTTAGCAGCTAGTACGATGAGGGCTCCTGGTGTTCAGTGATGGTGGTGAGAAAAAATTCCCGTACAAGATTTTGGTAGGGTTTTTTTCCATTAATGCTGCCAGTGCAACGTTTTTGAGGTGCTGTCTGCTCTTCCATGAGAAGGCAACATAGTAGATTTTGAGTCAAGTCACTACAATGACATCTCTCTCCCTCTTTTCACATAAGATGAGAAGAGCGAACCTTCTTCAGTAAATCTACAGTCCAAAATCAAATGAGGGGTCATTTTACTCAGTCCAGAGAGGAAAAATTGTGCGTGCCCGTGTCCTTTCAATTTAATAGACAGTCTGTTTGCATTGGAGGGATCAGCAATAAAAATAGAAGCCTTCCCAGCTTAGTTGACTGGGAGTCCTCTAATAAAGCTAGATATGCTAGATACTGTATGCCAAAAGATCATTTTCCCCTTCAGGGTCTTTTTTTGTATTAACTTGTCCTGTTCTGACTGCTGTCAATATTTTTGTCAGGACAGAAAGTGGAACAGACCAACTTGTTGCCTTAATGTGCTGTATGATATCAGGAATTACACACCCAGATCTGGGGGCAGATACTTGCTCTTAGAATCTGTTCACTATTAATATAGTGCCTTTAAGCCAAATAGCTGTTGCCAGCTTATATCTTTTAGAGGTCATGAGGACTCTGGAATCATCTCCTAGTTGTATCTAAAGACTTTTTCTAAAACATTTCTAATGTGTGGGTGTCACTTACCATAAGAATCTGTTGAATTCAGAAGTTAATATTAAAATGCTCTCTTTTTGTAATGCATATACCCAGGGACTTGATGGCCCGTGTCATTAGATGATGCGTATAAAAGTAAATCAACACATGCTACTCTGTACGGACGACCCTCTATACCAGGGGTGGGCAAAATATGGCCTGTGGGCCAGATGCGGCCTGCGAGGCCACTGTATCTGGCCCACGGGACCCCTAAAAAACTTTGGAAAATTAATATTTCTCTGCCCTTGGTTCCTGTCA